TCTGATGTTCCAAGCGATAGGCTGGATTCGATTTTGTCCCAGGAATTCCGCACCGACGACGGCGCAGTGATTAACATGGTCTGCACCCGCCCCGATTTGGTCAGGAAGCTCGCAGAGGCAGGAGTGAGCCTCGCGTCGAACAGGAGAGCACTCGAATCCATTTCGTCGCCCTGGGTGGTCCCTGTTTTTTGGGGTGGCTTACAGGAGGTTGTTTTCCAGGGAGACCAGCTTCTGGTCTGAGAGGCACCAGCGTTGTTATCAGTGCGAGTCCGATGGCTCCATTTGGCATCGTTGTTATCAGTGCGATACCCTTGCTGGCCGAAGGAGATGCTCAGATCAAAGATTTGAGGCGGGGAGATTTTTGCTCGAGGTCGTTTCCCGACCCCCTTTCCCTTGTTCAGCTTCGATCCCCCCATCAGACGCTCCACTGGCGCCGTCGCCCCGCCAGCGATCTCTTAGCGGGCCTGTTGTTCTCGGACGGGTCGTGTTCGGGGGTCGGATGTTCCCGAGCAGGCGACGGCGGACTGGGATGTATTGATGTGTGACCCCCACGGCCATCTAGTTGCAGAGGCCTGCGGGCACATTCCTCTAGAGTTTTCGCCGTGCCAGACGGCGCAGGACGGAGACGTTTTGCCATCCACCTGCTGACTCAGGTAGCGATGCCGCCCTTCAGGTTTCCTGTGACTGCGCAGACCCTGCTCAAGGGCCATGGGGCGGGCTCGGGCTCGGACAGCACCAGGTCCCACAAAGGGGGCTCCTTTCTTGGGGCTTCCTTTTCCCCGAATGACTTCGAGGCCCACCAGACGAAGGCCAGCTGTAGCATGACGGATGTATATGACGGGGATGCCGCGCTTTGGGAGAAACGCGGACACGATGCAGCGGACGAGTTTGCTGAGCAGGGTGGCGTGCTGCACGGGGTCAGGGAGGAGAGCTTTCACTTTCGGCGAGGGCTTGCGGAGCTTTGCCGAAAAGCTGCCCAGTGGACGGGGGAGGTCGACGCGTGGGTCGGGGACGGGGAGGTTGGGCGGGATCACGACGATCTAGGAGGGCTTGGGAAGGCACCAGGTGAGGCTGTGGAAGCCCATCCTGAGGCGCCTCCCCCAGGGGCCTCCCGACTCGCCTGCCTTGTTTCTGGCCCGCCCAGCGGATGGCGGGGACGAGTATGCACAGATGGGCCAGAATTATAACGGCCGTCTCGTGCTTCACGCTCGGGCCACGGCGTGCGATGGGCGTGCCGATGGCCGAGCCTCAACGTTTTTGTTGCTCCTGCGGGGTCTTTTTCACAGACGCGATGAGACGCCTTCCATTGCACATGCATGCGGAAGATATTGGGTATTCCGCCGTCGTACATCTCCAGGGTCACCAACGCCGCCGTGCTGGGCAAGGCCGGAGCGAAGCCGCTTTCTGTCATGCTATGTGAGAGGCAAGTTGGCATTGTACACCAAGATCGCGAATGGAGGCGGTTCTTCTTTAGCGAAATCAATACTCTGTAGCGACGGCGGCTCTCCCAGACAATGGGCTTCCCGGAGGAAGCGCGGGCGGCCGCGGCAGCGATGGGCCACCTCTGTGTATGAGATGTTGTAGCTTTGAGCAGTATCCCCCCTCTCTCCTCCTCCTGCACCCGTTCCCCTTCCTCCCTCTCGCCGCGTCTCGTCCTCTTTTCGCGCATCTCAGACATTGTTGTACTTATTGCCTGCCTCGCTTTCAGCAGAATAGGCGTATTCTGTCGTAGCCGCTCCGCCTTGTGGAAATGCAGCCGAAGTGTCGCAACCGTGTTTTCCGCGAGCAGACCCTGTCGTAACGGCGCGTCCTTGGGAAATGCGGCCGAATTGTCGCAACCCCGATTTTCAGCCGAGGCCCCGCCGCGCATTTACCGTTTCAATAACGCGCCGCATTCTCGCATTTGTTATGATTTACCCGAGGAGTTGCCATTCGTGCACTCTTCCGCCCACGCGTCCTGCCGGATGCATGGCTCATTGGTGGTTGGTGGTGGTGGGGTCTATTTCACAGGTTTCAAGCAGATGGGGGCCCTGCTGAGGCCCTGCCTTCGGGAGAGTGATGGGCTCTGGACTGAAAGGCCAGCTCTGCCGTCTCAAAGCAAGGCAGCGGCCGTCTTACAAAGCGAGTTTGAAAGATCTAGTGCCGGATTGGCTCGTTGGCGTGCCAGCCGACACTCGAGTGCGACCGGCGCAGGCTCCCACTCCCGAGGGGTCTTTGCCCAAGGGTGTCCCGTCGGAGGCCCCATGGGGGCCCCGCGCCTGGCCCTGGCCCCCTCTGGCCGTCTCGGTCCCCGGGGGCCCTTCGGCGGCCTCTGGACCAGAGGCCACGCCCTGCGTGCGGACGCCGTGGGGACTGCCCGCGTGGCTGGGTCTTAGGGCGTGCGAGAATGTCTGACGCCCGGGCTCTCTCCTGGGCGTCCGAGGGAGGCTTGGATCAGGCTGGGCTTCCACGAACCGCCTCCAGGACTCTGTTTCATCTCATCTCATCATCATTGCCTCCCCTCTCCCAGCCAGGGTGGGTGCTCTCGGCTGTAGGCGCAGGGTGCGGCAAGCCCCCACGTGCACCACCTCAGCGCCAGGGTGCCGAGGACCCCCCTTCCTTGGCGGACTCTTCGGGGCCCAGAGGAGGAGGTCCACCAGGTCCACCAGCAGGCAGATCAGATACGAGGTCGGCCCGCGAGCAGCTGCCTCACGGAAGTTGCTGATCCCCCAGCGGCTCGAGGGGCCTACAGAAGCTCGGGGGCTTGCGCCCGATCCTGTTTACTTCAATGCGCGGCCGCTGGGGATCCCGATCCCCCAAGTCACCCCCGGGGGGCGAGAGGGTAACGGCGCTTCGCGCGTCGCGGTCTGAGCAGAGCGGTTGCCCTTCTCCAAAAGGGGCGCGCCGCGCATCGCAAGGCGCCGTGCGCGAAGTTGGGTGAGCTAAAGAGGGGCCGTTGAAGATCTACCGGTCGCGCGTCGGCACCGAGGAGGGAAAATCGGCACGCACGTGTGAGCATTCGGAGCTCCGCGCGGGTTTCTTGAATTTGCACTTGGCCCACACGGCTGCACTTCCAGCGCCGCCTGCGCGCCCAGGAGGGGGGGTCCATCGCCAGTCCAGGCAGTCCGCGCGGGCCTCCAAATGTTTAAGTCGATGATTCTTCCAGCGAGACAAGCCAGGGCCTTCCCCCCGCGCGTCGTGGTAGAAACTCGCCCGATGCTCCTCCTTCTCCCCCTCCTCCCCCTCGTCGTCGTACTCGTCTTCCTCCTCCTGCCCCCTCTCTTCTTCGTGTGATGATGAATCGTTGTCGTATTATTCTTCTCCTTATTATCATATTATGTTTTCTCTTGGTATCACTAGTGGCATGAGTAGTATGATGGTTAGTCCTATTGTTATTAGTGCTTACAGTATGCGTATCATTGTGCGTAGTATGAGATGTAGTATCATCATTCGGATGTCATGGAATTGTTTATTGTTGGTGTTATCATCATTGCTATAGCTATAGTATCACGATTCGCAATAGTAGTATCAGTAGTGATCTTATTATCATTACCATTCGTAGTAGTGCTTTTACCATCAGTTTTTTATTGTTATTACAAGTATTGCCATCATCCGTGCTATTGATGTTCGCGTCAATACGAATACTAGGTGTATTATTACTAGCTTTAGTGTTGGTAGTCGTCTTAATTGTGTTGTTATTCTCGCTTGCTGCTATTATTATTACGACTCGTATTATTAGTACAAGTGTCATTATGTTTGTTAGTCGTGTGTTGCTTGTTCTCTCTTGTGTTAATTCGTATGGTTACGAGTCTCATTAATACGTTTCTTATTTGTCTTCTACGTTTTATTATTGTTCCTCCTCCTCCTCCCGCTCCTCCTTCTCCTCCTTCTCCTCGTCCTCCCCGTCCTTCTCCTCATCCCCTTCCTCCCCCTCCTCCACCTAATCCTTGTCCTCCTCCAGCTCGTCCCTGTCCTCCACATCCTGAACGGTGCTTCGGTGCCGTGATCTTGGGACAGTCCTGTGGCACCTGGGTTCCCCGGTGCTCTCTCGAGAAGTTTAATTCACTGCAGGCGTTTGGTATTACCCCTCATCCCTTCGTTTGCTCATCATCTTTCTCCGCCTCCCTTTTCCTTGTCCTCATCCGTCTCCTCCTCCCCCCGGTGATTATGTTGTCGCTCCTCTCCTCTTCTCTTCTCTCCTCTCCCTTCTCTCCCTGCATCTCCTTTTCACCCTTCTCCCCTCTCCTCCTCCTCCTCCTCCTCCTCCTCCTCCTCCTCCTCCTCCTCCTCCTCTTCCGCCTCCTTCTCCTCGTCCTCCATCCGCCTCCTTGTTCTTTCCCTCACCCTCCTGGTTTCCCTCCTCCTCCTCCTCCTTCTTTCTCCTCCTCTCCCACTTTTCCTTCTCATCATCATACTCCTGCTTTCTCCTCCTCCCTCCCTCCTGCTCCTCTCCTCCTCCTCCTCCTCATCCTCATCCTCCTCCTCCTCCTCCTCCTCCTCCTCCTCCTCCTCCTCCTCCTTCTCCTCCTCCTCCTCCCTTCCTCCTCCTCCTCCTCCTCCTCCTCCTCCTCCTCCTCCTCCTCCTCCTCCTCCTCCTCCCCCTCCCCCTCCCTCCTCCTCCTCCTCCTCTCCTCCTCCTCCTCCTCCTCCTCCTCCTCCTCCTCCTCCTCCTTCCCCTCCCCCTCCTCCTTCCCCTCCTCCTCCATGCCGTTGGGTCCTCACGCCGTGCACCCCCTGTACCTCCTTCCTGGCTAGGCTCCGGGACCTCGTGGCCCGCGCCTACCGGGACGACTTTCGGTGGCTCGGGTACTCCGAAGACCCGTCCGTGCTGCGACCTCTGCGAAGAGGTGACAAGAACGAGCCGAGACCCAGACTTTCGACGATGTGATTACTTAGTAGCCTGTAACTGATCCCCATCTCCACCCATCTTACCACCCAAGTTGGGGATATGTCCATCGAAACTCGAAGGGAACAGCTCATATCCCCATCTCGAAGGGAGGCCGAATACCTAGTTGGGCCAGGTGGGCCGAACACCTAGTTGGGCCAGGTGGGCCGAACTGACTGCATACTTCCCGATGCCAGAGAAGGTTGTTGGGCGAGGCCTGCTCCTATGAAGAACGCCGCGGCTCTTGAAGAAAAAAGTGTCGGAGGGCATGTCGGCGAGTGGGGCCAAGGCCACGCCGGTTGGGTGGAGGGTTTTCGGAGTTTTCGGAGAGGTTTCGGTCGTTTTGAGTGGGGAGCCGGTGGGGGAGGGGGAGGGAGGAGGGGGGGAGGGAGGAGGAGGAGGAGGAGGAGGAGGGAGGAGGGAGAGGAGGAGGAGGAGGAGGAGGAGGAGGAGGAGGAGGAGGAGGAGGTAGGAGGAGGAGGAGGAGGAGGAGGAGGAGGAGGAGGAGGAGGAGGAGGAGGAGGAGGAGGGAGGAGGAGGAGGAGGAGGAGGAGGAGAGGAGGAGGAGGAGGAGGAGGAGGGCGAGGAGGAGGAGTGGAGGAGGAGGAGGAGGAGGAGGAGGAGGAGGAGGAGGAGGAGGAGGAGGAGGAGGAGGAGGAGGAGGAGGAGGAGAGAGGAGGAGGAGGTGGAGGAGGAGGAGGAGGAGGAGGGAGGAGGAGGAGGAGGAGGAGGAGGAGGAGGAGGAGGAGGAGGGGGGGAGGAGGAGGAGGAGGAGGAGGAGGAGGAGGAGGACGCGCCGTGTGCGCACGAGCACTGGCAACGATCACCAGACTTCTCGCCATTCCTTTGCCTCCGCAACCCTCTTGGCTCACGCAATGGGCACCAGGCCGCGTGGCCACGGCGGGGCGGCGGCGCAGGGCGGCGGCGGCACCGTGCTCCCGGGGCCCAAGACCCCAGCCTGGGGCTGCCGCTGTGGCGAGGCGGCCAATTGGGCATCGCGGCTCCACTGCAGGAGCTGTGGGGGCCCCGCGCCGGTCTCCGTTCGGCAGCGGGCAGTGGAGGCGGCGGCAGGCCCGTCCCCGTCCGCGGCGCGGCCGCCCAGGGCAGTGGCGCCCAAGGCCAAGGCGGGCGCCAAGGCCAGCGCCGAGACGGAGCCCAAGCAGTCGGCGGCGGCCGCGGAGGCGCCCTGGGTGCACGGCGGCGGCAAGCCTCGGCGGGTGCGGTTCCGCGAGGCGGAGGTCGTCGAGATCAGGGAGGACGACGAGGCCGACAAGCTGGCAGCAGCGCTGCGGCTGCTGGAGGAGCGCGGAGTCCAGCTTGATGAGGAGGCGCAGAAGAAGCTGGGAGTCGGCAGGCAGGCCGACCCAAGCAAGGCAGGCCCAGAGGCGCCCAAGTCGCACCACGCCACGGTGCAGAGCGCCATGTGGAAGGTCAAAAACACGGCGGGCAAGCTCGAGAGGTCTCAGCAGCACTTGGAGGCCGCACAGGAGGCGTTGGCGGACGCCCAGCTGGCGGTGGACAAGGCCACGGAGGCCAAGGAGGTTGCAGCCAAGGCCCACGCCCAGGCGCAGGACCAGCTCGAGCGCGCCAGGAGGGTGGAGCAGGCGGGCCTCCCGCCCGAAGCACAGCTCGACCAGCGCGCACAGGACGTCGACAGGCTGGCCCAAGCCACCCTTGGAGCGAGGTGCGCCGCAGAGCTCAAGGACCATTTCGAGGGCGAGGAGGCCGTCCAGGTTACCCAGGCCATCGAGCTCTTCTCAAAGCTTGCCGCCGCGAGCAAGGCCCGCATTGAGGCGGCCAAGCGGGCGGCGGAGGCCCCGCCCTCTGGGGCGCCTGCTGCTGCTGCTGCTCCTGCTGGGCGCCCTCCCGACCGTGAGGGCGGGCCGCCAGCAGCCGCGGGAGGGGACGCAATGCAGGAGGAGGGCGACGACTTCGACGCCAGAGTGGAGGCCCTCGATGGGGCCAAACGGGCCGAGGTCGAGCGCTTCCTCGAGTCGCATGGCTGCTCCTTGCCCAAGCGCCTGCGCCGCCCAGCGGGCTCCGCTGCAGGCAAAGGCGCGGCCGAGGCAGCAGAGAAGAGCGAGGACCAGGCCCACTGAGGCGCCCGAGGGCGCGGGGGAGGCAGCTGCGAACCGCAGGGCCAGGGCGCCCCGCGAGGGCTCACTCTGGAGGCTGGTCTCTGCCTACACGACCTCCAGGGCGAGCATGCGACGCTGGCCGCAGGAAGAGGCACAGGGCGACATCCCCTTCGTGCAGGAGACGGGCGTGGCGCCAGGAGGATTCCTGGCGGTCTCGGTCTACCTGGTGGCGACCACCTGCGGCCTGGACCCCGAGAGCAGGGTGCTACTCGCGCAGTTGGGACAGTACCTCGAGGCGGTGCAGGCCCAGTACATCATCGGCGGCGACTGGAACGACGCCGCCCCTGGAGGGGCTCCCGAGAACGGCGAGGCCGCCGTGCTGGACGAGTCCTTCGACCAGGGAGGCGGCGAGAGGTGCGATCCTGGGGGGCCAGTCCCGTCGGGAGAGGCCCCCCAGGATCCAAGTCCTGGGACTGGCAGTTGGGGGCAGCCTGCGATAAATTGCCCTGCTCGTGTGGCGAGCTCCGACGGCCATGAGACACTGCCGAGCGGTCTAGGGCCACCCGTCCTGCTGCCACCGTCGGCGTCGGCCGAGGCGCTGCGAGGAGTTCGCGTGTGCTACGACGAGGACTGGACAGTGGACGAGCTCTACGCCAGCTTCGCGGCGCTGATGGAGGAGGACTTGGGCGGCCTTGTTGACATGAGGCAGGAGGACCTGATGAAGTGCGCGGGCCGCGGCGAGTCCGCCCGCTTCCAGGAGGGCACCATCAGCGCCAGCAGGCGGGGGACGCGCGCCCGCGGCTCCCCGCAGGCGGGCACCTGGTACATGATCGCGGCGCTGCTTTGGGAGAGGCTGGCCAGCAGGCGCCGATTGCGGGCGCCGCGCCTTGTCTCGAGGGAGCTGGACGTGCTGGCGCGGCTGCAGGCCAAGGTAGGCAAGCTGGCTGCGCAGGACCTGGCAGGCGACATCGGCCTAAAGTTCCTGTCACTGCTGGCGGGTTGCTCCTTCGCCACGACGCTGCTCCGCGTGGTGCTGGTCGAGCCTTTGGACGCGTTGCTGGCGGCCTGGCAGAGGGCGCGGCCGCACTTAGTGGTCGACGACATCACGGTGGCGGTCTACGCCAAGCGAGCGCAGCTGGAGCAATCTTTGGTCGGGGCCACCCGCGCCCTCTGTTTGGACCTGGAGGCCATCGGCTTCATCATCTCCTTGACGAAGGGCCAGGTTCTGAGCACCGACTCCGACAGCGCCAAGCGGGTCGCCCACAGGCTCAGACGATGGAGGTTCACACGCGTGAAGGCCACGAGGAACCTCGGCGTGGACTTCACTATGGCGAGGTCGGCCTCGTGGAAGGTGCTGCGGCATAGGATCGATCGCTTGAGCCAGAGGGCAGGGCGGTGCAGGGCCTTGCGCAAGGCGGGGGCCAAGAGGCTCTCCAAGGCTTTCAGGACAGGAGGGCTGGCGTCCATCCTCCACGGAGCGAGGGTCAGGGGAGTACCCACGAAGACCCTGCAGCGCGCCAGACCAATCAACGGCAGGGCCAGCGAGGGCGAGATCGGCCAGAGATCCAGGACGGTCGTCTTCGCCCTGCAGGTGGGCAAGGGCTGGGAGCACGACCCCGCCTACGCGGCGCACGTCCTACCGCTGAGGGCTTGGGCGCGAGCCGCCTTCCTGGGCGCGCGGCCCCCTGCGATCCTCAAGCAGGTGCTGGAGCGCAGACCAGACGACTGGGGCGAGGCCACTGGGCCAGCTGGGGCGGTCCGCCTCTCGCTGGAGCGCATCGGCTGGGAGCTGTTGAAGTGGCACTGCTGGAGGGACGACCGCGGGCAGTTCATCGGCGCACCAGGCACGGCGCACCACAGGCTGTTCGCATGCCCCGCCATCGCCTGCTGGGCGCACGACATGGGTTTCCAGGAGATCGCCGACGCAGGCAGGAGGGCGCCGCAGGACGTCCTGGGCCTGGTCAGGGGCTTTGTCCACCTCGGACTGGACCAAGGCCCGCCCCCAGGCATGGACGAGCTCTGCCGTCGCGCAGGCAGCGCGAGGCACGGCTTCCTCGAAGGTGGCATCTGCATCGGCGGGTCCGTGATGTACCCCGAGGCCCCGTGCCTGACGCGCACGGGATGGGCAGCCGTGGCGGCAGACGACGTCGGGAACACCGTCGGCGGCCTCCTCGGGCTCACGCCAGGCGGGATCCAGGGGATTGGCTATGCTGAGCTCTACGCGCTGCGCAAAGTTTTGGAGGAGGTCGGCCCATCGCCCATCACGGTCTACACGGACTGCAAGGGGATCCAAGACGGCTTGGAGGCGAGCCGTGAACGCTACTGCGGCCCAGGCCACAAGTATGCGGACCGTTGGGGACGGATCTGGCAGCGGCTCGACGACCTCGGCCCTGGCGCCCTCACGTTGACGTGGCTGCCGTTGCACACTTCGTGGGCCAGGGCCGAGGTGGCAGACGTGCCTTGGCAGGCATGCGCGGGCAACAGCGAGGCAGACCCGAGGGCGAAGGAGGGCGCCAGGCTCCACCCCAGGCAGGGGCAACTGAGTGAGCTGAGCCGCCGCCTGGACGCCGCAGCCGTGCAAGCAATGGCCTGGTGCGGCCACCAGACGGTTGGCTGCATCGTGTTCTGTCGTGCATGCGGGGCCCACGGGAGTCGCCAAGCAAAGTTCCTGGCCGATCCCTGCGTCCCGCTGGCCAGCAAGGGCCGTGATGCGGCTCGCCTGGCCCGCCGCGCCCTCGAGTGCCTCAGTGCGGGGCGGGAGCCCCAGACTGGCTGCCGCTGGGGAGCGGCCCGCTCCCAGTCTCGAGGGCGGCGGCGAGGAGGGTTTTAAGTTTGGTTGATGGGACTCCAAGGGGCCCCCGCGCCAGGTCTCTTGCCTGGCGGGTCCTGGGTCTGCCGTGGAGTGTTTTGATCCCCGTTTGGGGCCGAGGCTGGTTTGCAGAGCGGACCGCCTTCTGGTAGGAACTAGAGGAACTAGAGGAGGAGGAGGAGGAGGAGAGGGAGGAGGAGAGGGAGGAGGAGGGTCATCTGAGCCTCCCTGGGAAACCGAGGCCATCTGGGCCTCCGTGGAAAGCCGAGGCCCCTCGGGCCAGGGCCGCCCTTCGGCAACACCCGAGGCCTCTTGGCCCCACGAGCGGAGAGCATCAGTCCGTCGCGCGCGCGTGCGCGTGCGCG